TACCTGGTCTAGATGTTTTCTTCTTTTCATCTGATATTGGAAGCTACTGGCTCTAAGTGCTGATGCTAGACTAATGTATGTACTGTGTCATATCAGGAAGATTACTATACCTAGCCCTATTAATAATATATATTTACCTGTGATTTAATTATGCTGTACTAATAAAATGATGCAGGGCTAAGTAGAGAACAGCTAAATTTGTTCCAGATGCCACAGAAAATTTTTTGCACGTCACTAAGATACTCAGGCAGGTTTGATCTAAAGCTATGTGTTTTTTCTCTCTTGTTTTATTAGTGGAGAAGAGAAACTTCCAACATGTGTTGCAACAGGAAGATCTATCACAGAGTATCAGTTCTGGATGTGCAATGTGTGCAAGCACTGTGTGCAGGCCCAAGAAATCAGCAATTATAACTTCTGTCCTTTGTGCCATAGTTCAGTGACATAGTATGGGGAAAATTGTAAGTGTCCCCTTGTGTATGTTACACCTCAAACCATTACAAACATAAAAAGACTTCAAAGTGTGTATTGAAATGTAATACAGGCACTGTTACAAAATGTTAGTAAGATTATTAGAGAAAATATTTTTCAGAAAGAAACAATAACTAGAGTACTGAAAAAAATGTAACTGTTAACCCATTTTTATAAAAAGGGTTAAGGTTTTTTTTTTTTTCCTAACTGTGAACAGGGCCTAATACTAAAACCAACAAAAACTGATGTGTGTTTATCTGTCTTTCCTTTGAAACACTCTCAGGGCTTGTCTACTCGGGGAAGTTATTAGGTGGCATGCTAGGGTATAAATCTAAAATACAAAGCAGAGTAATTGCTATCTCCCCACACGTGTGTTTGTATTGTGCGCCAAAAGTGGCCTATGGAGTGTTTAAGCTTAATGCACTTTAAACTGTATTAAACTGTCTACAGGGGGGAGTTAATACAGAACAACTAGTGCACTGTAACACCCTAGCTTGCTGTTCATTAACTGCCTCATGTAGATAAGCCCTTAGTTATAGGAACTTCATTCTTCATTTTTATAATATACGGTTAGTTTTTATATATTTTTCCCAAAATACAGACAGACTCTTGGAGTAAAGAATTTCCAGCTGGAACCAATGTTCAAGTAGCACTCTTTATAACCTTTGTATCGTGTTATACATTTTCCTATAACTTTTTTACTACAATGATATTTTAGTCATTATATTTAGGACTAAATATTTATGTTGCATTATTTTTCTAAACATATTTAGAAGTAAAGTAGTTCCTTTGTTGGTATAAGAGGTGATCTGCCAAGAAGCTAGGATTTATAACCTGAATTCTTGGGTGCTCTCTTTTGAATATTAACCATTTGTTTGACCTTTGTGTATCCACATTGAATCACCCAAGGTTAGTAATAACAAAAACCAGGTACCAGCTGATAGCTCTTAATGAACTATATGATTACAAATTAGCAAACTCAATCAACTGGCAGATAGTGTGTCCATATACCACTGTCACAGTTGTCATCTTTATTTGGCAGTGTGAATGGCAATTGAAGAATATGGTGACTGAATTAAGCTGTCATTCATCTAAATTTGTAGAATGGAGCTACACTGAGGGCAGAGTGTAAAGCTTGTACAGGTTGGACCTCCCTAGTTTGGCACCCTCGAGACCTGACCAGTCCTGAACGAGGGAGGATGGGAGAGACCTCCCCTTGTCCAACATGTCCCATGCTAAACTGCTGCCCCTGCTAGGGCACCAGCCCAGCACCACTGTATCCTGCCTGGCCATGGCTCCCTAGGATGAAGCTTCCTAGCTGCTGCAGGGGGCCAAAGCTCTGGCCGGGGCTTCTTGGCTGCTACCTGACCCCGAGCTCCACAGCCACTGCTGACCCTTGCTATTTCCTGGCCATGGGTGTAGGACTCTCCACTGTGCCTCCCACTCCTCTGTGTCTCCCCCGCCATGGGGCTCCCTGCTGAGTCACCGCCTGCCACGCTCCTGCCCCACAGCCCGACCTCTCTATACTTGGACTCAGTGGTCCAGCAACATCCTTAGTCCTATCAGACTAGGGATGTTGCCGGACTAAAGACTCCCGGTTACAGGAGGTACAATCTGTATTTCAACTGTACATGTTTCAGCTGTACATAGAATGCTTTAATTTCAGTCTTATCAGTCTGGTATCTTTCACAGGCACTACATTCACTTTGAGGATTATAATTGAAGAAAGATAGTCAGGAATCTTCTTTTCTCTTGGTTTGTCTTTCTGGGTGAAAAATTACCTTTGTAATATCCAGAAGTTAAATCTTGGGTTCTTTTGAATACAGTGAACCCTCGCTACTTCGCGGTTCGACTATCGCGGATTCACGACTTCGCGGACTTTTTTCATTACATTATGTATATACGTGAATCCGCGATGGTCGAACCGCGAAGTAGCGGTTACCAAAACTTTAAAAAGCCTCCGGGGAAGCCGGCGGGGGGGCATCCCAGGCGCGCCTGGGCTGCTC